GTATAGACTACTGTCACTTTTGTTGGGGGCAGAGTTAATTACATTCAGGCAGCCAGACATTTTGCTCGATATAAACCTAGTTTTTTGTTTGTTTTCTCTTTTTAAAGCCTAAATTGTCACATCTTTCCAAAAGCAACAACAACATGACTTGATGTTCAACATTATACAAAAAATGTTGAGATAAATCTTGTACATGCCATAAAGTTTCTCATGATTATCAGATACAACGGCTTTAAATAGCTTCTAGTGAATCAAAAGATCATACAAGGAAGGCCATTCTAATAGGAGCTACTTGGTAAGAATGTGTCCCATCCCTAACCCTCATCATCTAGTTTAGGAAGAAGCACAAAAATCTTTCTGCTTATTTGTTTGGACTTTGGGAAGGGTGGGTTTGGTTTTGTTTTCTTTTAATTTATGTTTCAGATTCTAATTATATAATCACATCTGAATATCTGTTATCTCCATGTCTTCACTGCATAAGGTCAATCCCTACAGGAAAAGTTCTTTCAGGCTTGTAACTTCAAAGTCTATAGAACAGTAATACATACAGTTATTGCATAACAGCATTATGTTATGCAATATTTTTTTAAATTACTATTTAAATATTTATTCTCTCAAAAACAAAATGTTTCACTTGAAAAACTAAAACACAGATTTTTGTAAAGCTTTTTTCTTTCAATATTCATACATTCATTTTTTTTCTCAACAAGGATTTACTGAAAACTTTATATGCTAGATACCTTGCTAGGAGCCAAAGATAATGGCAAGGCAGACGATCTGAGAGATGTCTTTCTCCCTAAAACAAAATTTGTAGGACTTGGTTCAGGAGTAGGGAGTGTTGAGGATATCTCTTAAGCGTTTAGTCTCAGCATCTGGATAAAGAGAGGGTCCACTCACTGAGAGGGGTTATGCCAGGGAGGAGGAAAAGACAGGGGATATGGGGGGGGGGAGAGTTTCAAGGATTCAGTTTTCCACACATAATGTTTAAAATATCTGAGCTACATCTCAGTGGCAACGTCAAGTAAACAGCTGATTTGTGAGTCAGAAGAGACGAATAAATTGGATATATAAAATTGGGAGTTATCAATATAAAGATGGTTTTTAAAGCAATGGGAATGGATGAGATTGTCTAGAAAGCAAGTGTAATTAACAGTGAGAGAGAATGGGCCTAAGACGGAAATCTGAAGAACTGCTACTCTGTGTAGGGTAGAGAAGAATTCAGCAAAAAAGATCAAGAGAATTCATTCATTCAGCAAATATTAATTAAGCTTTTATCAAAAAAAAAAAAAGAGAGAGAGAGAGGGAGAGAGAGCAGCTGCCAAGGCTGCTGAGCTACAACCAAACACCTCATGAGATCTGGTTTTTTGTTTGAAGGTTTAAGGTCATGGTTTCGTGGGAATCCCAGGCAACTGGCCTAATATCATTTTTAGTTTTTCTGTTCTACCTCTTAGTTTGCTGCATCGTACCTAGGGTCTTAAAAGCTTACAAATGGCCATCCAAGATACAGTCGTTCCTTGGTATCCACGGAAGATTGGTTTCAGGACCCCCCCCCCAATACCAAAATCCGAGGATGCTCAAGTCGCTTATATAAAATGGTGCAGTATTTGCATATAACCTACGCACATCCTCCCCTATACTTTAAAATCATCTCTAGATTACTTATAACACCTAATGCAATATAAATGCTATGTAAATAGTTGTTATACAGTACTGTATTGTTTAGGGAATAATGACAAGACTCAAGGTGAACAATGCTCAAACGATGAGTGCTGGAGAGAGACTGAGGATCTGTGAAATGGTGGGAGGTTATAACAGGGGATGCCTATAAACATTCCATTTGCGTGGATTCAGCATAGTGCTCAGCGCGTAGCAAATTCAAACTCTGCTTTTTGTAACTTTTTTTTTTTTAACGAGTATTTTCGATCCGCGGTTGGTTGAATCCACATGTACAAAACCTGCAGACACGGAGGTCCAACTGTATAACAATTGGTCTCCATTCACCTGGAGCAGCAAAGGAAGAGAGAAAGTCAAGAATAGAAGGAAATGGAATATATGCCTAATTGCTTCTGTCAACAAATACCTCCTCTGCCATGAGACCAGAATAACTGGATGGTGCCCAGCTACCATTAATGAACATTTTTGATAGAAGATTCTATGGAAGAATCCTGATCAAAAGCGGTAAAAATACAAAACAGAACTCAAAATTCTAATGGAATCCAGACCTTCTGGAGCCACTGAGGCTGGATGAACCCCTGAAATTGTTGCCCTGAGATAACTGTGAAACCTTAAACCTTAAATCAAAAATATTCCCTGAAATCTTATTTAAAACCAAACAGGTCAGCTTATTTAGTTAAGAATGTTTGTCTTGAATGTCACGCTCTTTTGAAAAATTATTTATATGAGATTAAACTGACAACAGTAACTGGCAAGGGTAGACAGGAAGCTTAGACGGCAGTGAGCTCATGTTAATGGGGGAAGAACAATTCAGAAAAGGAAGGTGAGAATGGCTGCACAACTCTAAAAATGTAATCAATGTCACTGAATTGTACATGTAGAAATTTTTGAATTGGTATATGCTTTGAACAAAAACAATTAAAAAAAAAAATCAAAGGAGCACATACCATGTGCCAAGCTAGGCACTAGGGATACAGTGCTAAACAAACAGACGTGAGCAAAGAAAGACAGGAAAACATGGCTAAAAGATCAATCTGAAAAGAGACTACTGGATTTAGAGATAATGGAGGTAATTATGCTCTTAACAAGAACAGTTCTAATGAAATGATAGGAGCAGAAGAGTTTGTCTCCTACCCCTTCAAAGGAAACACTTCTGACAAGCTTGGCTGTGAAAAGGAGTAGAGATTTACATTGGTAAAGGGTCAATTATTTAGTAGTCATTTATTGAGGCACACTGTGTTAGGTACTATAGATAAGAAGAAAAAGAGTCCTTGTTTCCAAGAAGTTCACAGTCTAGTAGTGGGTAGATAAAGAAAACAATATATACAGAGGCAGATTTAAGGAACCAATGGAATACAGGGTTCAGCTCAGAATAGAAAATGGAGGGAAATGGGGCTGGAAAAGATGAAGGGCCACCACACCAAAGAGTCTAGATTGATGCTCCAAACAATGAAGAACATCTTCTTCAGGAACAGCCTTCCCACCATTTCTTCCTTTCTCATCCCCCAACGCCTACAAATAGAGACCCAAACATGTGGACATACACATCTATATCCATCCAAACTAAATAAATTACTATGCCATTCTTCAATGCCACCTCCATAAAGCAATCTCTGATCATCCTATCAGGAAGTAATCTTTCTCTTTATAAGCTCTAACAGTTTGGTTATACCTTTTTCATCATATTTATCATATACAGATATATGCTACTAAAACTGCAATCTCCCCTTCTCCTACTAGTTTGTAGTTTACTTAAGGGCAAGGACAATATCAGATATGTCTGGAATTTCAGCAGTGTAAATGTTTAATGGATAAATGTAATAGATCTGGTTGAAAGCAGGTCTTTAAGAGGATGCAAACACAGAATAGCTTAGTTTTAATGAACAGTGTGGGTATGGAAGTCCATGGGACACTGATGGAAGAAGCACAAACTTGTGAGGAACACGGAGGAGAAAGGCCATTGGCAGCTGGGAAGTGAAGAATTAACGGGTAATAACAGCTGTTGAGTACCTGCCATGTGCCAGGCAAAATACCAGTTCCTTATCACATTTAATTTCCTCAACAACCTATGAGGCAGATATTATTAGCCTCATTTTGCAGAAAAAGAAACAAGCTTAAAGAAGGTAATAAGTGGCAGAACTAGGATTCTACGATCTATGTTTAATTGCAAAGGACATGTGATTTCTAATCTGCTACGTTGCCTCCCTACTTTTATAACTGAGTTTAGGATTGTAATTAAAATTCATAAATAAGCATAAACCATTGTTTTTATTGTTTATTTTAAAAATGTACAGTATATAGCTGACTAATTATACCCTGAAATCCACTAAACTGCATCATACTGTCAATAAGTTCCATAGTCAAAACTGGCCATTGCTCTTTAAAAAGAAATACTCACAAAAGTTTCCTCATTTTGTATCTGGTAAATAAACATTACTTTAGAAATTATGTAAGGTTCATTTTGGATAGGAGTACCAAAAAAAACCGAACTCACTGCCATTGAGTTGATTCCAACTCATAGTGAACCTACAGAACAGAGCAGAACTGCCCCTTAGGCTTTCCAAGGCTATCAATCTTTACGGAAGCAGATTACCACAGCTCTCTCCCTTGGAGAGCCTGGTGAGTTCGAACCACTGACCTTTCAGTTAGCAGCTGAGCACTTTAACCATTTCAAACCTTTAATTTAAGCAACTTTTTTAAGGCTGACTCAAAATTGTCTTGAAACTGAGAGAAGCATTTTAAACACAAGTTTACAAGTAAAAATAGATGTTAGAAAATAAATTCAGTATTATTTCTACTAATAGGAACTTTTTTTTAATAATACCTGCAAGTAGCAAGAACTATTCAGATAAAGATTTTTCATAACGCTATGTCACAGTATAGTTTATCATAAAATTTATCATGTATATTCAATGGCAATGATAATCAGTTAGTAAACTGGTGGGGCAGGGGGAGGCTGCAATGTATATTCAAACAAGGAAAAAGAAAACTCCAAAACCTCTCTTCCTATCTAAAATAGCAAATAAAGCCTCTGTGTTACACAACAAATGCATAAGCACAAGCAGGGTCGGTGTACCATCTACTCAATTACAAAGTTCTCCCAAATCTGTATCACTTGAAGCAAAAAAGTTGCAGCAGGCAAAAGAGCTCCTCAAGCAATTATTTCTTGTTGTTCAGAGCTTATGTTAATGACATCAAATACTTTTGAATAAACCAATTATAATTACTATGTTGAGAGGTTTGTTTTTAAAAACACAAAATTATTCTAAATCTTTGAAATTACAATCAATGGAGCTATTTCTGCCTGCCTACACTTGAGAACTCACCACATGTTCAACACTTTCTGGCAGCTAAACACACACACAAAAAAAAAAAATACAAGGGAAAAAAGAGAGAGAGAGATCATCAGAAAACAGCCCACGCTGAAATGATCACATTGTTTTTCATGCTTAATTTTTCCAAGCAGCCATATTATAATTTACATTCACAAAAAAATAAATAAATAATGTAAAACTAATAATAAAGCATGCAGGATACTACAAAATTAATAACCATTTATTCTTATGCTTACAGAAAAAATGAACATCTACCATGCAGCAATAACTTCCATGCATAAACACTCTTAAAAATGAAAAGCTAAAAATATGCTGTTAATTCTAAATAAGAACTTGAGCACAGTTCGTAAAAAACAACTTTTTAATTATTGAAATATTTACGAAGTAGCACTATCTTAAACCTAAGTGATTAAAATAACTAAACAGTTTTGCATGCACCTATTCTTGAAAAAAATTCCCTGAAAGTAACTGTACGTGACTATAAATCTCATACATGCAGAGTTTAAGAAAAAAATGCTATTCAAACAAGCGAAATGAATACGCACTTGGTTTCATCCATCACTTCTACTTCCGTAGGGGCTGTGATGGGTGCGTTTGAACGTCCTGCAGTGGGGTCATCTGTGTTTAATTCCCCATTTGTAGAGCTTACAACCTGGGGGGAAAAAAAAAAATATATATATATAGATAGATAGATAGATAGATAGATAGACAGACAGACAGATACACATACACATATACATGAACTAAGTAATAGGTTATATAATAAACATAATTAAGTTTAAGGTATTTAAATTAGAAGGCTAATATGAGGAACACAAAACAATTAGTATGTAGTTGCTCATAAATGAATGTAGCAAGAGGTCCAGGATTTTGTTAACAACCAAGGTCATCCAATACGAGCTTTTTCAATTGCCTTTTTCCATCTTGACATTTCTGTCTTCAGTCTCCTTCCTTCTGGTTTTTAAGATTAACTCCTATACTTGTGTCTCAACCAGTTGCCTCTGTATATCCTTTGGTACATTCCTATATCATTAATTACTTCTCATTGAAAAATTCAGTATTTCTCCTCCTTATAAAGGCTTCACTTCAACCTGTAACCACACTCAAGTCTCTACTTCAACTATCACCTCTATGTAAATGACTCCCTGAGCCTAGCCCTCACCCACATCTTTGGTTAGCTAGACATCTCTCTTTGACACCTCAAACTCAGTATTGTCAAAACCAAATTATCATCCTTCCTCTTAAATCTGTTACTCAGGGGGACCTCATACCACCAAGAAAGCAGTGCCAGGAGCAGAACGTGTCCTTTGGATTAATAGTCCCGGGGAACAACGATGAGAAGAAGGCAGACAGAGAGAGAAAGCCTTTCCCTGGAGTTGACGCCCTGAATTTGGACTTTTAGCCTACTTTACTGTGAAGAAATAAATTTCTCTTTGTTAAAGCCAAAAAAAAAAAAATCTGTTACTCTTCTTTTGGTTTCTATCTCTATTAAAGACCTACCATCTTCCAGACCTCCAGGCTTAAATTCTAAGAATCATCTTTGATGTTTCCCCTACCAATTCTCTAGTCTCCTTATAAGGAAAAAAACAAATGTTAATGACACTAGAGTTGATAGCTCACTACTAGACTTAAGAATACCAGAGGCTCTAAACAGTCTCATATTTCTAAAAATTAATTCAAAAGTTCTACTGGGGGTCTACACCGTTGCAGGCACTTGGGATATCTGAGTAAACAGGACAGGCAAACACTCCTGCCCTTGCGGACCTTATATTCCAGTGTAGAGAAATAAGCCCCTCTCTCTCACTCCAAGAAAAGTAATTAGAAATCAACTAATATATCTTGGTTAATTCAGAAAATTATGGAAATTCCATTTCCTATATCTTATGTGGGCCAAGTACTTAGAAATGAACTTTGCATTTGTACATACAGCTGAAAACACAAAATTGCCTTGACAATCTTTAGAGGCAACCCAAGGAGTCACCAGAGAAGAATACTCTTACATCTAAGTCTACCTTTCTGCTTCTGGGGCACAGGTATTCCCCCTTCTGTCATTCTACTGAACTCTCTGTACATTTTTCTCTTTATTTCCCCCCTTTCTGAAAACATTTAAAAATAATTATATCGAACATAATTTGGTCCTTCATTCTTCATTTTTAAAACGTCAGAACTCCTACAATGAACTGAAAAGTAGATAGAAAGCAGGATTTCTATCTTACACTTTCGTATTCTCCACTATTTTTAACTAGTAGAGTGCCTTGCAGGCAGTAGATGATCAATACAGTTTACTGAACAATTTCTATTGCTCTTCCCATGACACACTATTCAACAGATTTTCTTTTGTTCAATAGCCCTAGATAGCTGGCCCCTACCTCGAGTTACAAGCCACTCTTCTTTCATATCTTCTCTTACTCTAAGCAGCAAAACTGAAAATTAAAAACCCAGGTATTCTAAATTTCAGATATTTTCCAACTGCAGTAACTATATACATATTGTAATAAGATGACTTATTTCAGTTCACAGAGAAGGATTTTTTTAAACATATTTTTAATTAAGATGCTCTTGCAATCCCTAAAATACAACATCTGAACAACCTGAGTGTGAAAATCATACAGAAACAGGGTCTGCATGGCCCCTATGATTTAGCCCATTCATATCAGCAACAAAGAGTAGCACAGAGTGCGTATTTTCTCTTCGTCACTTTCTGCACAGCTTACCCAGAACAGCTTATAAAGTCTATGGCCATTTCAGAAGACTAATATATTTTACTGACCTGGGCTTTTGGGAAATTATTTGCAGGAGAAATAAAATGATTCACATTGCACAGAAGACGACTTTTTGAATCTGACTTTTATAAACCAGGCCAGAAGAAAGTAACATCTTGCTTTATCTAACTTCTCAGATTCCCTAACCCTCTAAATTAAGGCCAATATCCCAGGGTCAGAATACAATCAATATAGTAACAGAGGTAAGAGATGGTGATAACTGCTGTTATCAAACTTAACACCAGTGACTTGAGAGTGTATCACAGCATTAAAACTATTTTCACTATGTGAATGTGATTAATGGCACTGGATTGTACACATGAAAATGGATAAAATGGCAAATTTTATGTTGTGTATATTTTACAATTAAAAAAATTTTTTTTCATCACATAAAATTAGTGGTCTTTTTGCAAGGAGATCTTACAAAGGAGAAACAAAGACATAATATTATAAATAATCTGTGTTACTATACTCCCGGAAGCCTAAATCCATCAATCAAATACATACAAATAGTTTTTATAAGCCAAATTCTAAAAGAATGATTGGTATTTCTACAATTATAACTTGAACTAGAACATGAGTCTCTGAAATACTAATGTTCATCAGGCTGATTTCCTTAATGAAAATATATTTTAAAACAACAGATGATCTAAGGTTTGACATTTCAAAAGAACTAATTCAGGTATTTTACACACTGGTTTTTTGTTTGTTTTTAATTGTTGTTTTCCATCTTCTTAAAGAAATTTCCTCTGACATTCCCACTGTGACAAGAAATTACTACAACTCTTATTTAAGAGGCAAAAAGAAGGCAACCGGTTTTACTACTAGTATATTAAAGGTGAAGGGGTGAAGAGCGCTCAGGTAAGTGTGAGAGATAAGTAACTTTACTTAACAGATGCCTGCCAAGTCTAATTTTAATAGAAGTTACTATCATAGACTTTTGAGTACAATCAAAGATAACACATGGTTTTGTAGTGTCAATGACTTTACAACATCAATTAACATACTTTCCAAATATAATGAATTCATACTAGTCATACTATTATCCTCCTAACTTCTCTTTAAGTTCTTGTAAGCATGATTACCAAGTACAAAGTAGAGACTAAACATAATAATATATTAAATAGATCTTTATTCAGTAAATATATTAGAAATATTTAAAAATTGTTTTATTTACATACTGAGCTTTTTCCAAAAGGTATCTTACAAGAGACAATACTAACAAATGAGATATAGTTAAGAGAATGATTTCCAATGAGTATTCTGGATCTGTGCTAGGGTACACATTTACTATATGAAACCAATTTTCTTACATATTCTAAAAACTATAAAGTTATACTTGATATTCTTGATACTTAATTCTTGATTCCAAATGATGACCTCAGGCAAAGTGACATTCTGACTGACTTTCAACAAAGATAAACTCAAACAGATTTTCAATTTAAGTTTTACTTCAGAGTTATTAATCAAAGGGCTATATTCTTTGAACATCCTAGTCTTTGGAGATGTTATTGTAAACGTTACTGTAAAAGCATCTCAGCATAAATTCAAAATACTGATTTACTACAACGGTAACTGACAAGAAATATCCTAATCTAAACTCAAAGAAACAAGCCTTGTAATTTTTTATGTAATAAAGCATGCAACTACACTCCTTCCACCTCCCTTGCCTTTTCCAATACTCCAGAAGACAATGAGCACAAAGATGAGACTGTAATAATCACTCAATTTTGTTCCTTGTTTCTAGCTCTGTATTTTCAAAGATTTGATATAGAATATTGAAACTAGTTATTAGAAATGATTTTTAAATATTGCCATAATTGAGAAATAACTGAGATATGGCATTTAGTACTCCTACTCCTTTGACTTTTAGTCATGTATGTTTTCTTACTGTCTCAAGATAGATTTGTCCAATTCTTTTTCTGTTAGCATCACCTGTATTTGTATTTCTGATGTCATACTGGCTAAGGTATCAACCATGTCTTGTTCCACAAAACATCTGCACCACCTATGTGCAGCTTTTCCTTAGTTTTTCCCCCAAGTGCTCCAAATCATATTAATCCTCAGATTGAAACTAAAGGCTGTCCCATTAGAAGAGATTTCCAAATAATCAGGAAGGATATAAAACCATGTAAAATGGTTTTTCAGTAGTGTCCTTAATATTTGTCTTCTTCCCTCTGCTTGCAGTTGCCTCTCAGCTTATATATGGTCAGGTTTTCAGTTAGCATTGGGCTCAACAGAGTTGTACTACGGTGAAAGGCACAGATTCAATGAAATTAGAGATTACCTCTACCTGCTCCCAGTGGTACATTTCAAAACCTAATTTTAGAGATCTTATTTTGGCAGGCAGAAACATCAAAGAGGGATAACAACCATACCCCTCTTTTTCCCCTCAGCCCCTACAACCGATTAAATTCTACTTTCTGTTTTTCAAATCCTTTCATTTCTCTTCATCTCTGTTATCCATTATTCTTCCTCAACTATAGACTTCTGATAACTGTGCTCCTGCTTGAAACTTACCTCCCTCCAATCTAGTTTCCAGAAAAGCTAATCTTTAGAAAACACTAATCTAATCAAGTTAGTCCCCTATCTAATTATCTTTATGGCTACCCACTATCCTCAGAAGAAAGTCCAAATTTAATCAGAAGACCTGTTAGGTCCTTCATGATTTGCCTCCTGTCGGGCCTCTCAGTCTCATTTCTTAACACACCCCAGCTTGACTGAACTGTATTCCATTCCTCAATATGTCTACTTCTCCTCCACAGTTTTAGGCATACTGTTTTTTTCTGCCTGATACACTTCTCTCTTGACCCCTTCTACCTTCCTTAACTCCTACTAATTCTTTAGGCAGGTCTCAGTTTACATATCACTTTTTCCAGGAAACCTTGACCCACTAAATCCAGGTTAGCTGCTTTTCCTATATAGTCCCATAGCACCTTGTGCTCTGTCCACTTATCACACTGCCTGTTTATTAATCTCCCCAGTGACTGAAAGCTCCATGGAGACAGACGCTACATTTCTGTTATTCCTCCTTTTATTCGAAGAACCTAACACAGTGACTAGTACCATGGTAGACATTCATACATAATGTCCTGAATAATAAATGGGCAAGAAACCAAATGTGGCAAGTCTAAGTTTCTCAGCCATATTTATTACCAGTGATTCTAGGGGGAAGAGAGAGGGGCACACTTGATTCCCCTGGGAGCTTTTCCAAAACACATACAGGCCAAGAACATATTCAAAATAAAGTTTTTAGGTGAAAGTGTACTGTGCAAATTAGCTTCTCATTCAAAAATTTATACATAAATTGTTTCGTGACATTGGTTGCAATCCCCACAATGTGTCAGCACTCTCCCCCTTTCCCTTTGTACCACAGGTTCCCTGTGTCCGTTCGTCCAGTTTCCTGTCCCTTCCTGCCTTTCTCATCTTTGCTTTTGGGCAGGTGTTGCCCATTTGGTCTCATATACTTGATTGTACTAAGAAGCACATTCCTCACATGTGTAATTGTTTGTTTTATAGACCTGTCTAATCCTTGGCTAAAGGTGGACTTTGGGTATTCTTAGCTTCTTGAGTGGGAAAAGTTTATCAAATGTATAGCTATACCCTTCTGATTAGTGAATTAATTTGATCTCACTAAAGGGATAGAGAAAGATTAAATAAATTCCATTAATAATGCTTTCTTTTGGTTATGCTTCTATATGCCACTTCCCAGAGAGAATAAAAAACTAGTCAAGTTTCTTAACTTGCAGAAGGAATAAATTCTATTTATCAAGCCATTCCTAGGCCCCAGACTATGTTAAATATTTTTTATTATTAAATTAATACAACAAAACCATGAGGCAAAAGTGTTATTAATATCCCTATTTTACCGCTGAATAATCTAAGGCACAAAATTTAAATTCATTCTGACTCCAGAGCATGTGCTCTTAACCACAATGTCATCTACTTGGTAATCTGCATGTCTGGTCTGTGATATGTATATAATAATCCTGGAAAGATCCTTTCCAGGGAGTTCAAATGTAGTTCAAACTATCTGCTATTTGGTTCTTATTAAAAGCACATCTGAAATAATGAATATCTGAGGATCTTTATGTAGATCAAAATGGCAAGAAGTTTCACCTTGCATATCAACTCTGAACAGCCTGGAATGCTGTGTGGTGCTGCACTGAGAACAACTATCAGTTCCATGTAAAAGAGGGCAGTGATAGACAAAGGATGAATGTCCTAGGCCCAAAATGGCTCTTTGGAAATTGCTGATTCTGCTTCTGAATATCCTAAATCTGTACCACGTTTTATAACCAGATAGCTACCTACTTACTATGAAAGTACAAGGAAAGGTCTTTACTGAGAAACTATTTGATGATATGTTTTTAGTATTTGTTCAGAAACATCTTTTTTAATTGCCATGTAAAGGTGTTGCATCTCCTTCAAAACCAGTGCTGCAAGTTTTGTCCAATAGGTTGTTTAATGATCTTTACACAAAGAACTTCAAGGAAAATTCCTCTTATACTATCGAATTATTAAGACTTATTTTCTTTTTATCTCTTCCCTTTATCAGATGAGAATGATAAAACACATTGTTTGCCTTTTTGCCTTCATGCAGAATCAAATACAGGATTCAATCATAATAACTGTATCTACTTAGATTTTAGGCTCCTTTCTTTCCTCGTCCTCCCATTATTAATATTGGTTTTAAATGATAATTGTATTACTCTAATTATACAAGTATCATAGCTTTTTTACATAATTCTGAAAGTAGGTAAGATATAAATTTTAAAGGAATTCAACCTTTATTTTTGAGTGGGAAGAGATTCAGGCATGATCTCAATTATTAGGCTATCAGTAAATTTCTCATGAGAGTCAAACTTGTTTAATGTCCATCGATCAGGTCAGTTAATGTTGTAAAATACAAATCAATGAAAATAGTGCACAATTTTTTGTTTTCCCCATGCATTACTAAAATTCTAGTAAAATTTATCACTTTAAAATTTAGAATAAGAAAAGATATAGTCTGTATAGGCAGAAAGTTTTAGAAAGAAATGATGAAAAATAAGAAAAGTTCAAATATCTCTTTGAAAATGTGAAAAAAATAGAACATGAGGAACCAGAGCAATGAGGCAATAATCAAACTCAATCATCCTTTGATAGTCCAAAGGGATCCCATAAGCCGCCTTTGGGAATCACGTAAGAATAAGAGGTTAAGAAATTAAATTTGTAACAATGGTACAGAAGTGGTAGAAAATTTCTTAACTGTGGCAGATTTTCCTGAGCACTGAGCAAACTCTTGCTACAATACACACAAACTGGGACACACTTAAATGTATAGACACATATGTAATCCAGTTTGTGTTATGTAAATTAAATACAATTTGCTCAATTAGCTTTTCCAACGATATGAATCAAGGTCATTAAAAATTTTACAATTCAGCCTCCGAGTCCCTCACTCTAGGCTTTTATAGAACTATTGACATGCTTCTGCTACAAATTACTGAAAATTCTATTGAATATAAAATTTTATAGAAATATTGGTTATACAATTTAAATTATTTCAAATTTAATTGTGAGAAAAACATGAGCGCTTGTAAGATTATGATCATGAATTGATTTTTATAATTCAAATAAAGAATGAAATCCAGTGGATTAAAAATATATACTAAGAAAAAATAAAAATTTGGTAAAAGTAATGGAAAACATGTGTACTACTGTTTCATGAGAAACTATTTGTTCTGTAAGCCTTCACCTGAAGTACAATAAAAAAAAAAAATGGAAAAAATATTCAAGTAGAGATGTGTGGAGGGAAAAATATCAAGATTTAAAGAAAGATTTTTAATTAAAAATAGTTAACAGTTATTAATTCAATTACTTTAAACAGGCATTTAGATTACATTAAACAGACATTTTAAAAGATGTAAGAGATTCAGCAATCTCTCCCTATGTCTACAATATACATAATATAGAAGATTAAAATATAGGGGGGATGAGAGTACAGAATATAGTAGCTATCTCTAAATGTACAGAAAAGAGAAAAAAGAGCAAATCAAAAATAAGGGATTGCTTTTTTTTTTAATATACACAAGATTTATTGAGGGCGTGTTAAATTCTCATCACTAAAATCATTTTCTCCATCTGATATTTTCTACAAACTCTAAATAAATCGTTATAAAAATTAGGGTCACATTTATTTGACCAATTAATCAGAAAGTACATTCTTAGTACCTACCATGTATATATTACTATATTACTGAGAGGTCCTAACTCATTTTGAGGGAAGAATAGGCATAAGTGAACAGACTGACTGAAGGAAGGATAAAATTAGCTAAGGATGAAGAAAGATTATCTATGTAACTGACTTAAGGAGTTAAGGAGGCAAAATCAATGAAAGGGAAAAAATATAAAAATGTTCTGTTACTTCATACCAAAAAAAACCAAACCCATTGCCTCTGAGCCAATTCTGACTCATACTGACCCTACAGGACAGAGGAGAACTGCTCCATAGGGTTTCCAAGGCTGTAATCTTTATGGGAGCAGCCTGCCACATCTTTCCTCGGGGAGCGGGTAGTAAATTCAAACTGCTGACCTTTCGATTAGCAGCCAAGACTTAACCATTAAAGCATTAAAAAAGATTCCCCTTACTATTGGAAAATCAAGTTTAACACGTTTCAAATAATACCATCTGTTTTTCTAACCTGCTATGAGTATGATATACTTAAATATTGTTGCATATACTTGGCAAAAATGAACAAAGGCAAAATCTTAACATTTCTGGTGGTCCTTTTAGACCATGTTAATTTTGGTTTTTGGTTAAATAACAAAGGAATAGGATTATGGATAGAGTTCAGCAACAAGCTTTTCATTAGGGGATGAAATCATGCCATGAGTTCCAAAAAAAGGGTTAGTTGTATAAATTTGGGAAATAATCACTCATGCAAAAATCAGAAAATACCTGTACCGAGCCACCATGTCTGTCTGCTGCAAGGTGAGCTCTCAAATGGTGGGGATTGGCCTGCTGGGAGTCCCAAGCTGCCCTGTGGTCTGCCGACTGCCATTTATTTAATGCATGTGGCATGCATGGAAGAAGAAAAACCCAATACGTTAAACATCTCATCCTTATAATATATTAAAACAAACATATAAAAGGAAATTTAAAATACCCTTTCTATTCTGAAACACAGATGCAGTTATCTTTGCATACTGATGTGAAGAGATTTTAGTAAAATCACTACAATTGAGTAATGAGCAACAGTAAAAATAAAATAGAACCATAGAATTTTAGAAGTGAAGGGACTTTAGAGATCCTAGACACCACCCTCTAACTTTATAAATGAAGTTGAAGAATCCAGGAGGTGCCCAAGAAACAGCTCCAAATAAATAATGAGTGCACTAAAAAGCGATCTACTCTATTTTCTTACAATAGAGGTCCCCAATGGTTTTCTATGAGGATCCACTTTTAACAGGGTAAAAAAGATAGTCCTTAAATAGTTTACTTAGAAACTTAGAAAAAAATTCGCTCTTGCTTGTATCCTGTTTCTGACTGTGAAGATAATATGAGAAAACGGAAAAGTTCTTTGAAAAGTGGGAAGATCTAAATAAAACACTATGAGGATATAACAAAACAAGAAAATTAAAAAAAAAAGAGACAATCCTATATACATGAATCCCTTTGATTCTTTGATTTCTTTTTATCTGGTTCAAATTAAGAAACTGATTTCCATGAAACAGGCTGATAATTCTTGATGTTTTTAGATCCCTCCATAAGTCTGCATGACAATAACCATGAACTGATAATAACCTACTAGCGGAATTAAGAATAGTTGCTTAATAGGTGTCAATTTCTGTTTCTGGAACGTAGAAAGCACTGACAGGAACAAGGAAGAACACAATATTTATGTTCCTATTACATGTTTGGTTCTTTATTAGCTGCTTTATATGTGTTACCTAATTTTAAGACATAGTATCATCCCCATTTTACTAATGAAGACATTGGAGGCACCAGAGACATTAAACACTTCCCTAAGGTCAAGGAGCCAGTAAGGAGTACAGCAGGGATTCAAACTCAGAGCCTGATGCTCTTCCTACTATATACCTGGCTCCTAACCACAATTATATATATTCTAAAGCCTTCACTGCTCTTTGCTTCTTTTTTCCAACCTAAGTCTGGAAAAACTTGCCACAAGTGCCAAGTAACAAGACTCCCCAGTGAAAAGTTTTTTTCTAGATATTTCAAAGCCGCTGGGCACAACCCACAGGTTTAAGTCGGAGCTAGTTTGTTGAAAGGCCAGCCAAATGATCTTATGCCTTAGTGACTCCTAAGTACACAGTCCGCTATGGTTTCCTCATAGAGTTCTGTGTTTCTCCGACTTTTGTAGATCTGCCAGGAGATTCAAAGGCACATCCCACTCCTGAGCATGGGGCTACAGCAGATCTAGCTCAAGGTTCAGAGCGTGAGTTAGTGTCGGTATGCTCCGCTTGTAGAAGTAGGCAGCGGGCCTCTTTGCTAGATGAAGGTTAGCTAAATATAAAGAAGAAAATAAACATTTGCATTGCAATGAATTCTCGTAAGGATTCAGAAAGTGCTTTGAAGACAGTACATGTGGGATATCCAGTCTAGTTGTTCTCCATTTTTTCCTACTCTTTGTGTTTCTGAAGGGATAGCTATGGATTTACACTATAGCAAGGAGTTGAGGCAGCAGGTTGACTTATGCTATAGGGAGCCCAAGCACACTGGTGGCCAGAGTAACCCTTTGGGAAAGAGATGTTAAATTCAAGAAGACACAATGAATAAATGTTCTGGCACTAAGCTACACTAAATTGTACAATGTAAAATTACATACTCTATGGCATGAAGAAATTTATTAAAAGTATGTCAACAAAGCAATTACGATAGTTCTATAATGTCTTTTCATTAAACCCTCCAAGTTCATAACCAGAAGTTAGCAGATCTGTAGCTTAAACTGAAATAAATTGGATGAAATCAAATCTAGATAAGCTAAAAGAACAAAAATAATGCTGAACAAGTATCTTGGGCAACAGCCAATAGTTTGGGGTCATGGACCTCTTTAGGAATATAGTAAAAGCTACAAACTCTCTCCTCAGAAAAAAACATATACACACATCCAGCATTTTATATACAATTTTAGGATCCCCTGAACTTCAGCCATTGACTCCTTTATCTGGAGACATTACAAAGGATTGTCATTTGAAAGAACTGCCTTTTTTTTCCCCCCTTATGATTATGAACTATGGGTTTCTCATAAAACTTAAACTATTTAGAGCATTAACAGATAGTTAAGAAGAGTTTTTCCTAGATACAACTTTTCTATCATGATGAAGGGTCTGTCTATCCAATGTCTCAGATTCATTATATAAGCCTATACTAAAGGATTTACTGAAATATATATGAGTCCCTACATTTAGTGTCATAAGAACTATACAAATATAGTTCTCATCCCCAGTGAGCTTACAAGCTAGCTAGCAAAAACAAGTCTGAAACATTAGAAAGGTAAACTCTAAAATACTTAAATTGTAATTTAATTCAAAAATAAAATAAGTGTTTCACTTATTACAATGCCTAACAGCTCAAGTGGAGAACTTCAAAGAACAATTATGATCTTCTTCCAAGTACATTCGAGAAATTAACTCTGATTTACAAAACCAGAAACCGTGGGTTTTAATTTCTGAGCCATTTCTAATTACAATTTCTATTTGAAGTAATTTATTTGTAAGAGCCCTGGTGGAAAACTGATTAAGCACTCAGCTGCTAACCAAAAGATTGGTGGTTTGAAATCACTAGTGGCTCCACAGGAGAAAAGACCTGGCAATCTGCTTCTGCAAAGATTACAAACTAGGAAACCCCACAGGGCCGTTCTACTTGTCATACAGGGTTGCTGTGAGTTGGAATCAACTCAACAGCACACAAAAACAATTTGTGACATCCTTTATTGTCCCAATGTTTCTAAGCTGAAATTCTAAAACTAACCTTTATAAACTGGCTGTATCTGATAGCATAATATGGTTAAATGCCTCCTAAAGTATAGCATTTTAATTTGCTTTGGCTTTTAAAAAGCGGTGTACTTTCCTTTGGCTTTCGCCTCTTGTTTTAACCATCACTTAAACTCTGACAGGATAAAAGTAGTAAAAGCAAAAGAACAGTACACTATCCCTCTCTGAAAGTGTTATGACAGAAAATTTCTGTGAGGACACTTTCTAACTCACGGCGATAGTAGATTGTTTTATGCCAAAGATAGCTTCAATAAAGATTCTTCTTACAAAAAAAGAAAAAGGTAAAAATATTGATCAAATATTTCAACAGCTTTCCATTACCTTACCCAGGAAACACAAACTCCTCACTCTTAAACAATCTTAAATGCCTTATCTCAATCTACTTTCCTCTACCTACTCTCTGCTCCTACCAAATTGGACTCCTTGCTATTCCTTAAACAAATTCTGCATTTAAAAACTACTGCTTCATATTTTATACTGTTTACTCTCCCCAAAATGCCCTTATTGCTTAATCTGCCTTTAAATATTTCATTCATTCTTCAGGCTACCTGCTCCCTAAAATCTTTATAATTCCATACACATTCCAAAATCCTGGTTCTCCAAAGTACTTTATTAATATTTTTCACACAATATAGCTCTTTCTACATAGTAATGTCCTTATTTACATACTTATTATAATAATCATTACAATAGTAACACCAGCCACAACAGTTGAGATGCACTGAAAGTTTACTATGTGCTAGGAATTAACATGAATAATTTCTATTTTATAGTGAGGAAACTGAGGCTTTGAGAGATTAATTAACTTGCCCAGGGTCAAGTCACATCCAAGTACGTTTGATTTCAGAGACTGAGGGAACTCTTGACTCCAACACTGCTCTCAGCCACTCATTAGAAAATCATTTCCTGTATCGTCTCCCTTACTTCTGTATTTCTGCAGTGTGTAGAATAGAAGCTTTCAAATAGCAGAAACTCAACACATAATTTACTGAACTAGACTAGGGTTACAACAATCAACTGCTATTACAATTCATTTCAGCAGGATATCCTAATACTTCCCTCGTAATAGAACACCATCCACTGTTCACAGTTTATACTAATTGACACCACTAACCAGGAATTTATGATTAAAAAAATATAGATTGGTTATGGTTTGTTGTTTCTCTACTTGTAAAAAGACTTTTCTTTAGGCTATTAAATAGTGATAATACGGAGAAATAATACATTGATGAAAAAAACTGTATTTTCAACCCCTCAATATGTGTGTGTATAATCTATTCCATTGACTGAAAAAAATATGTACTGCAATCTTTCAATATGTATACACGTGTGTATACAGACACACACATACACACACACAAAGCTGCCATCTGTATATGGTTATACACCAAATATATTTATAAATTGTCAGAAGGCAATACAGAAACAAATTAAGAAATTTCGTATCTAAAATGACAGCAAACCTGGTTTTTGGATTGTTGCATCTTATCTCTGTGCTGATGTGCTTCTCTGTTTGATGACAGAGCAGGATCTTGCTGAACTGCACCCACTGGAGTAGGCTACAATGCAATAATAACTGGTATTGATATATCCTGTTGCAAAAATCTTATTTAAAATCATTTGCTGCTTAAAGGAAAAAATATAAGACATGGTTGAATAATTTAAAGCCTTAAAACAAGATGACATTTTCAAAACATGTTGTTAAAACAAATTAAGCGAAGAGAACATAGCTACTTTAAAAGTATTTCTAAAATATTTTTATATCTACAAAAGACCTTCTAATGTTGTTGATACTTTAAGTTATTTTTCATATCAGAACAACGAAAACATATTTCTTAATAGCTCTTGTTTCCAAAGCTAATAATATAAACAGAATAAATTATTTTAAGAAAGAGAATAATTTTTAAAAATAAACTAACAAAACTGCTGTTGTCAACATTTTGACTCAAAGAAGAAGTCTATAAAAATTTTATTTTAAATAATTCAAAACCTAATATAAATACTTTAATCAAAGTTCATGTAGATTCACATCATAGATACAACATATATTCCAATCATTCTGGACTTAAAAATATAGGTAAAACTCTTGAGTAAATCAACTGTCAAAAATACTTGATTCTGAGAGTTTGGTAGTTCCAAATATGGATAAAAATTCATTAACACTAAGCCACAATTGAGTACTGGCGGCACAGTGGTTAAGCACTCGGCTGCTAACTGAAAGGTCTGTGGCTAGAATCCACCAGCTACTCTGCAGGAGAAAGATGTGGCAATCTGCTTCTGTAAAGATTACAGCGTTGGAAACCCTATGGGGCAGTTCTACTCTGTCCTTTACTTTTGCTATAAGTCAGAATTCACTCAACAGCAACAGGTTAAGCCACAATTAAAGAAAATTTTATAAAATGGAAGTATTTT